AAACGAAATATTAAATTACTTGTAACCCATCCATTTAAAGTGACGAATCTACGAAATCTACTTCTACTATTTACAGGGCCGTGCAAAGGGGGGATGCGGCGGATGCACTGCACCAGGGCCCCCCCGAAATTCGGTTAAGATATAACTATTATTTTCTATATACTACAAAGCGCGCTTCACGCGAAATTTTTTAATACACCATTAACTTTTACATATTATTTACATAATTAACCTTTCGAGACATACAAGTGTGTCTAAATATGCAATAATGATTCACGAAGTAAGCGCAAAGAGAGCTCATTTATAAATAAATATTTTAATTATATATATTGCTTTACTACATTTTTAATCCTCTTAAAACTTCATTACTTAAAACACAAGATATTAAAGTCATGAAAGGTCCCCATTTTTATCTTTGCACCAGGGCCCCAAAAACCCTTTGCATGGCCCTAACTATTTATCTACGTCTCTACCATCTACAAAAGTGTAGATTCGTTACCTCGATTACAAAAATTCGCACTCACCGACCGATGCGCAACAGCGGAGTTGTATCTGCCACGTAGCTACGGTGATTCTGCAACAGAAAAGCATGAAATTTAGATTAAAATAGTGAGAAAACCAATACGGCAAACAATAATTCTTACACGTATCGAACTTTTTATTCACTTGAATAGGAGGATTGTATCGCGTAAGATTTTCCTCGAAGGAGTTTCACGAGAACGAACTTTTGTAAAATTTAAAATCACCTCTTGTTTTCTTATAATGATCATTCCTGATTATTAGAAATCACATGGAATTGTAATATAAAACGGCTCAATATAATAAACTGCAAAAAAGGGATCGACTTTATACAAAATAAAATACAATGATAATTACCGCAAGGTTGCTCCGCTGGCGCCTGATGCCTCCTTGGCCGCCGCCTCCTCTCAGATTCCTCCACTTCGCACCGGCACAACACAACACTCGCGAAAGAGAAGATAATTACGATCGCGCGCACTAATTGTCCAAGTGACGTCACTCCCGGCGTTATTCGTCACGACTTTTCGCAACGAGAGCAAGAGACGCGATCGCGTCTCCGCGATCAATGGCGTCGCGCAAACTGGCGGGAACGTTTCGGCGGAAAGGACTCGGAGATCCGCGGGGCTAACGCTCGCGCGTTTCCCGAGGAGAAGAGACCGAATGCGGGCGTAAACGGGGGATTTCGCGCGTACGTTTCTCTCGCCGCGCGTCACGCGTGAAATTCGACGCGAACTGAATTTGAAGCTCGGTATATTCGCGGCGCGACGGCGACGGTGCAAGAGATCCCGCGGCTCCCCGCGAGATACGTGTCGCGGTGGCTCGTCGACGCGCGGGTATCGAATCGACGCGACCTGATCAGACTCACCGCCGTGGTGCGTGCCTTCGTTCTCTGCCACCAGCTTAACGCGCGACACGTCACTCCCGACGTTATTCGTCGCGGACTCGTACAACAACAGCAAAAGAGACGCGATCGCGGAAATACGATCGATGGCGTCGCGCAAATTGGCGGGAACGTACCGGCGACGAGGGCTCGGAGACCCGCGGGGCTAACCTCGCGCGTTTCCCCGGGAAAGGGACCGAATGCGTAAACGGAGCGATTTCGCGCATCACGCGCGAGGAGACACCAAGTGAAATTGGAGCCCGGTACAGTTTTCGCGTCGCGCAAGGATACGGCGGCGCAACGGCGACGGCGCAAAAGATTCCGGCTCCTCGCGAGATACGCGTCTCGGTGGATCGTCGACGCACGAGTATCGAACCTACGCCGCGATCGCTATACTTGAGCGGCCTCAAACTCACCGCAACTCTGTCGCACTGTCGCGAAATGCGTCGTTGTGACCGTCGGCGCCGGAGAACGATCCACTGCGTGTCCGCGGGGCTGGCTCCTTTGACGGACTAACATGGCGTCGCTTCCCGGCGGCACTGCGCGATACTACACGAGTCGAGTCAACGCGCGACGACGACGACTGTACGTCACTTCTCGTTTCGCGATACCGCTCGGTCAAACAAACGCGCAAATTGACGCGTTGACGAGAAATCGACACTCACGGTTCTCCCCCACGTTCAACTTCGGTCGAAGAAACAGCGAGCGCGTACGGTAGACGGCGACTCGGCGGTCCGCTTCCTGTATCTCGAGTAAAATAAACACACCGAGAAGCAAAGACGACGTCCCGCGGAGTCGAGAAGCTCGATCGGTTAGTCGTGGCGTCGTTTATTACGCGGAGAGCGATCGCGCGCACTGTCTCGTGGCATTCGCACCGGCGGTTCGAATGACAATGCGACACACAGAACGTTCGCTGACCTCGACGGCGGGGCGGCTCGGCGGCTCGGCGGCTCGGCGGCTCGGCGTAAACAACTGCCGAGCGACGCGCGCGCGGGTCTGACAAAATAACCGTCGAAATAATTTAGACGAACGTACATACAACGAAAAAACACGCCGTACCAGCCACGTTAATGTCACGGGTAAACGGAGAATCAGTCTGCGTTCTGCCTCGGTGCTGGCTGCTCGCCGTAGCTGTCTCTCGCGAGTGTCGCACGCTCTGTGCGAGTATCGTGTGCTGTGTCTAGTGTCGTGCTCTGTGCGAACAATTAATGGTCATCGGCCTAAAGCCCGTGTCACACTACGTATTGCGGACGCGGATTGGATTACGGATCGTACAAATAGACAGTCGTCTATCCTGCGATCTGCAATCCGGATCCCAAGTTGCCTCGCTGTGATTGGCTGAATTTCGATCCGCAATCCGTAATCCCAATCCAATCCGCGTCCGCAATACGTAGTGGGACACGGGCTTAAAGCCCGTATCGGACTACGGATTGAGATTGAGATCAGATTGAAATTTGGCCAATTGGAGGGAAAGTTACTAAGCTTGAGATTAATAAACTTTACTGCGATTGGTCAAATTTCAATCTAATCTCAATCTCAATCTGTAGTTTGATGCGGGCTTCAAGCCCGTGTCACATTACGTATTGAGGACGCGGATTGGATTGAGATTGCGGATCGCGGATCACGTTTCAGCCAATCAGACGAGGCGGCTTTGGGCCCGATTGGTTAATAGCGTTTTCCATTGGCAGAACTAGTGCGCACCGAGTGCACACTATTTGCGAACTGTTTGTTTCATTGCGGATCTCAGTGCGTACGAAGATCGTGCGTGCAGTTTCGTTGGTAATTCTATGTGCTGAATTTTGCACATTTCATGCAAAAATCTGGCACGAGCTCCAAGTGACGGTGTCGGTTTCGTGTAAAAATACGCTAATGTCATGCACTGAACCAAGCCGCGAGTGTTTCATTCGGCGTGCAAGAAACTTGCACTAGCGGTACACTCGGGCAGTACCGTTTTGCATTTCACGAATTCTCAGTGCGCACTCAGTTCTGCCCAATGAAAAACACTATAAGACAAAGTTAAATTTAAAAATTCACTAGAAAGTGCACCCAGTGCGCACTAGTGCAGGCAATCAAATTTGCTAGCAGTTCCTGCAATCAACGATCAATGGATATCAAGGTGGACGTGGCCGTTTATTGAAGTAAGTACTTTTATTTTAAATTGACATAATGGATCTGTTATATAGAAATCGCGTTAGATCAACATTTTGTAAAATGCATGTCGGAATTTAAGAGCATATGCATAGTTTTGCAAATAAATATGAATTTTCATAGATTCATTGTTTGTAAATGAATGGATTAAGACGGATTAGAATAAATGATTAGATTAATACTGGAGAATGCGCATTTGTGTGATTTATGTGCACTCGCACGCACGCACAAAGATCGTGAAATAAAAATATAAGATTTTCAGAAGACGCGAAGAACATGATATAATTTTTTAGAGATAAACACAACGATGACATAATATATTTTAATAACTTGAGCAAGTTTTAGTACGATGTCATACAACCTGTTATAAATGAGAAAAATTTCCGACTTCATTCCTTACGATTGATGACACTTCTAACTTCCAAATTAATATTTAATTAAAATTATCTGGATCACTCGCAGAACCTTTTTACTCACACTTCATAACTCTCAATATAAAATACAAACGATTCTATAGAAAAAAACTTTGTTCGATTTGTCTCTTCCGGCTAAATACCGGGTGGAATATAATTAATTAATTACTAATAAACGATCAATGGCTACGTTCAGCAGAAAAAGCTGCTTTGCAACTGTTGTAAAATTCGTGAATCTGCTTGGCGTATGCTCTTAAATTCACTCAACATTAAAAGAATACGCCAATCAGACTCACGAGTTTTACAACAGTTGCAAAGCATCTTTTTCTGCTGAACGCAGCCATTGACTCACAAATCTCTTCGATTGCACTTTAAACCAGGGTTGTAAACCGGAGCAAAAATACGTTCTTTGGAGCGGTTTTGAACCGGTTCGAATTTAAAAACCGCTCCGAAAACCAGATGAATTTATGGAGTAAATTATTTGGAACTTGGGATGTAAACCGAACCGGAGCGAATAAGATTGTAAACCGGAGCATAAATACGTTCTTTGGAGCGGTTTTAAACCGGTTCGAGTTTAAAAACCGCCCCGAAAACCGAATGAATGAAGTAAATTATTTAGAACTTGGAATGCAAATCGAACCGAACTGGTGAAATTTGCACATTTACCACCTTTCCAGCTATGTAGCAAAGATTCAAACGTGGTAAATCTTTTTAAATAAATTAAATCCTTTTTAGATAAAGAAATCGCTCCAAAACCGGTTTTTCATGCTCCGGTTCGAAACCGGAGCGTTTGAAATCATAATCAAAAATGGTTCGCTCCGGATCGGAACGATTTTATAATTGAAATTTTGATCCGTTCTCTCGGAGCGGATACACTTCAATGGTTCGGTTCGGTTTACAACTCTGCTTTAAACGTTCTCATACGAAATTCAAACGATTGCGCGCAGCAGTTATTTAAAAGCACGTTCATTTCCGGTGACGCGTGAGCGCATGCGGAGCAGGATTCGCGGTAGCCGACAGTAGCGCGCTGAGAATGGGCGACGGACGAAGCTGGAGACTCCGGGACGATAAAGAACTGCGCGTACAGCACTTTCGAGCGTAGACACGATTTTCTCCGCGGTTAAAAACGTATATTAGCAGGTATTACGCGATTATTACCGAGATAACAATTAGATTTTCGCCGACTCGGAGGTTCGTAAACATTCGTCGAGACGTGTGTCTTCGAATTGGCGTGAGGCAGACCTGTTAGATTGGTTTCGAGGGAGAGAGAGAGTACCGCGAGCTACGCTAAGCTTTCATGTTTTCAGAGGTTAGACAATCGTGATGTAACTATTTGCAGGAAGAGAAGCTTTGTTCATTATTTATATCAAATTATGGCTCGTATTAACGTCGTGGTGAAGTAAGATTGCACACAAGGAATAACTCGAGTGTGTTTCCAACGTAGTGCGCCTTTCTGCGCGGGCACGTAGCTTGCTTTCAGTGCTGCTCCTTCGTATACTGCGTTTTATTATTTATTCACATAATAGACTGTTCTCGGCATGCTGCTAGAATAACTTTCTCAACTTACGAAAATAATTTGAAAGAACGGAATTATTTTTTTTCTCTCTCTACGCCCTACGGGAACGTCTTTCAACCGTTGGATTATTTGGCGTATCTTTCGGTCGAATATATCTGGTTGCCCTATGTTCCCTGTTCGTCCGATGTACTGGTAAATTGGTAGCGTCTTCTTCCCAATCTTCACTTTCGACGATGTCCTCTGTCGCAACGGGATTTTAGCTCAGAGAAAGTGAAAGTATCGACCGGAATAAGTATCGTCGATTCAGGTTTACAATCGATATGCCATTTGGACATTTTCACAAGCCTCTTTCTCACTCTTCTCTATTTTCACAATTGTTTTGCACTTTTTAATTTAACTTAAACTCACGTTAAAGATAGTTGACGTTTTAAGCCCGATTTTACCAAACATCGCTTAACTTTAATCTCGGTTTCATTCATGTTTGTTTCGTTCTCAGGTAACAGCTGGAAGGAGACTAAGAACGAATTAAACTAAGCTTAAGTTAAGCGACGTTGGTGAAAGCGGGCCTTATTTGCTCTCAGAGTAACTCGCAGCTTAATTATTCGTAAAAACCCGGTGAAATTAGGCATAATGTGATTGTTACTAAAAAACGGAACAGTTAAGATATTCTTTCAAAAGAAAGAGAGCATTAGAAATTATTAATATTTTCTAATATAATACTAACAGCGGTGATAGATTTTGTTACACAATAGCCGCTCTTTTGCATGCGAGCGAGCGGGAAAGGAAATTGAGATAGGGAGGAAGAGCGCTCCAACGCTTCAAATTTGTAGGTAGCTTTGGTTGCAACTAATTCTTAAGCCTTGTGTCCACGATCCAAGAACTGTGTCCAAGTTCTAGGTCTAAGAAATGCGTAGCCAATCAACTTGCAGCTTTTCCATAAAAGATACAGGTTGATTGGGTGCACATTTCTTGGAACTAGAACCTGGACACAGTTCTTGAATCGTGGACACAAGGCTTTAGGCCCGGTTTCACCAAACGTCGCATAACTTTAATCGTGGTTTAATTCACGTTTGTCTCTTTCCAAAGTAACAATTGGAAAGAGACAAAAAACGAATCAAGCCAGGCTTAAGGTTGAACAACGTTGGTGAAACCGGATCTTAGACTTTGTCGAAAGAATATATTAATTTCTGAAAAGCTAAAACTGGCATTTGTATTTTTTTTAGGATCGTTTTAACAATCTATTTAATTTGATTGAATGTAATTAACGAATTTCTAATAAATGTTATTTATTTTCAGGGACAGAGTAAAAGCGACATTGCTCTCAGCAAGAGATTATCGTATCTGCTGCGCCATGGGGCTGTAAGGGAAGGCTTAAACATCAAACCGAATGGTTTCGTTGCAGTTGACGAACTCTTAAACAAGCTTTATCAGTGTACTATTGACGACATCGAGAGAGTAGTAAAGAAAAATAACAAGCAGAGATTTACCCTTGCAACCGTTAACGGCGTTTTAGAGATTAAGGCAAATCAAGGGCACTCTATATCCAGGATTAGTGAATTGAGTTTGAAAATACTTGACTGCGTGGACTTTGACATAATTCACGGGACTTATTTTAAGTACTGGTCAAGGATAAAAACTGAGGGTCTGTCACGTATGAAAAGAAATCACGTTCACTTTGCAAAGGGGTTAAATTTTGTCAACGGTCTGAGGCAAAGCGCCGAACTTTTTGTTTATATAAATTTTGAAAGAGCAAAGGAGGATGGCTTAATATTTCGTGAATCTGAAAATAATGTTGTCCTCTGTGCTGGAAATTCGAAAGGATTGATCGAAACAAAGTATTTTTTGAAGGTGCTTACTAGGGATGGACAAACATTGAATTTTGATGAAAAGTAGTGATCTTCTTTTTATCTTTTTATTTTTATATAATGCACTGTTGCTAAAAGGAAATTTCCTGCAAGGGAAACGTAATTAAATCAATACAATAAATAACGGTTGTTTTTAACAACATTGAAACATGAATTCTAAAACGTACGCTGAATCTGTCAAACATATTAACAACCAAATCCCCACGAGCTCAAAACATCAAGAAGCGAAACCAGAACACAAATCGCAAGAAGAGAATGAACATTATTTACCAGAAAAGTCACTTTACATTGCACCTTTACCGAAAACCGTGTCTCCAGGGTATTTAGTAAAGTTTCTTCATCAATTTGGAGCAGTCAAGAGACAACATTTTGCACGGAACTCCTTTTGGATTGAATATAACGACAGGTAATTTATGATAAATAATTATAATACATAAGAATAAATTTTATCTTTCTAATCCATGCAGATATTTATGTATTGGTTATTTGTTGCAGCAAACCTGTTGATATTTTATTGAGCAGATCAAATTGGCTGCCAAATGAAAAATTATGTTTGAGAAGACCGAAGAAAAATGGAGGAAATTTTAACCAGGACAATGGTAAGTGTCACAAAGTTATCTTAGATTTAGCAACATACATAGTTGCTACCATTACTTTTCTATGGAGATGACGTTGATACACGCTATTGTTTTGTAGTGCCGCAACAGAAAAATACCAAGTCTGTCCGGAAAAAACCGGAGAATAAAATTGAGGAGGAAGAGGACCCGATAAGTTACGACCGGATAAAAAGTGTTTTCGAAAACGCAGTAACATTTGATAACCAACTGGCAGCACTTTTAAACACAGTGCAGCTTACAGAATTTGAATTGTCAGCAAGATATAACGTCATTTGCACTCATCTGGATGAAATATTCAGGTCGGTTTTCCCAGAATGTCAAACGTACAGATTCGGCTCGACAGTGGCGCAATTGAGTTTCAAAGAGAGCGACTTAGATATCTACATGTACGTCGGTCGAATCGGTAAGAGATTTTCTAATTTCATCGTACGTGAATACCATACGTGAATACCGTTGAATGCTCAAATAACTTGTCTGTTCAAGGTTTACCGCCGATCTATAACAAACCGGATATTCCATCGCACGTGTGGACGCCAATAATTTTCAAGAGAGTAAGAAGAGTCATGTACAGCATGAAATCTATATTTTCCCACATCATATCGATCCCTAAGGCGAAAACACCTATCATTAAGTTCCGTTATATGCCGACTAATGTCTCCTGCGACATTTCCTTCAAGAACAGCCTAGGCATCTATAAAAGTAACTTTTTACGATACTGCGCTTCGCGCGACCCACGACTAAGACCGCTGATGCTGCTCATCAAATATTGGGCAAGGCACTTTGGGATTTCGGGTAGCGGCAGGATCTCCAGTTATGGACTAGTTTGTCTCATTATATTTTATCTTCAGCAAGAATCAGTTGGTCTTCTTCCACCGTTATTGGACCTCCAGAGAACCTGCGTCCCGCAGATCCTGAATGGCTGGCAAATAAATTTTAATGAAGATATTTACACATTACCGGCCGTTACCAATAGCAGTAGTATTGCACAGCTGCTTCACAATTTCTTCTCCTTCTATGGTAAATTCAACTTTAATTCGTGCGTGATATGTTTATTGGATGGAAAAGTATATCCAACAGCTGACTTTGCGCAGTTGGACAAGTTACCCGATTACATGAATAGATACAAAACTTACGTCGTGGATAATAGTGCCAAGAAATTAGATGTTCAGAAACCAGTATGCGTGCAGGACCCGATCGAACTTAATCAGAATACAGCCGCGAATACGTCAGATCGTGCATTGATAACGTTTCAACATTGCTGCAAGTTTAGCGCCGATGTCTGCGCGTCAGCTAGTGTAAATAATTACGATTATTTATTGACCACGTTATTCAGCACAATTCCTCCTCAACTGATGCAGCTGAATAAAAAGAGGAAGAAGTTCAAAAATGTACTAAAGGCTGGTTATTTCATCGATGCTGGATTACCCGAAGATTTCGAGAAACGTACGGATATTGCCGATAAAGAACAGTACAGGAAGGACAATTGGTATTTCGTCATTTTTAACCTAATAAGAGACATCTTCGAAATGATTTTTAAGTTGCACGTCGAGGTGATCCTCGATCAAGAAACGAAGCAGCAGAAAATCGACGCGTTGTCTGACGTGCATACCAGAAGTCATCAGAAAGTAATGTTCCGCTGCACAGGGAACAAATGCGTGTGGTACAACAGGAAGAAAAACAATAGAACTCTTTTGGATCTTCAGTTGAGCCTACTGGAGAAAGAGGCGATCATGTCGGACAAAGTGGTGGAGCAGCTAAACGAACACGATAAGGCAAACCACATAAGGCTGGATTTCGTATGTACATTGGAAAAGGCGGACAATCCCGTGGCGGTGGTCATAGTGCTGAACGACGAGAACAGCCAGAATCACATCTTTCGGCAGTTCGAGTGCTTCGTAAATAGCTGGATACCAAAAATAATAAACAAGACGTTGGTGCACATGCTGCAGTTCAAAAAGACCTACGAGCTGCTCTACCACCAACAACGATCATCATGATGCTGAGTGTACGTCGCACTTTCCGACATGGACCAAAAGTTTAAGCGCTCTATTCTGCATAACTCGCCGTTAATTTGAAAGTCATAACTATCTTGTTAATATTCCATTTATTTACTTTTATCATTGTGTGATATTTCCGAGCGTATTCGTCCGATTGGATTACTTCAAATTCACAAATAGATCTTTAGAGGGTCTTGAGAAAATTAACCAGCTAGTTTGTATTCTACATCACATTTCTCAAAATATTACACAAACACGCATTACTAATCAATATAATTTATTGAAGTTATGTTCTGTGTTAGATCTATGAACAGGGGAGCGATCACGTGCACCGATCGAATTCGAATTCGAGAAGGAATATGCCATCCGATACCACTCTTCGTACATGAACAATCTATGGTCTGGGAGAAACTATCCTATAATAAATAAGCATGAACCATGAAACCTGTAGAGTAGAAACGTATGAGAAGTCAACCGATCGAATTCGATCGTGTACGTGATCGCTCCCCTGTACTCTCATGCAGTAAGTATAATCGTGTAATATGGAAATATACAAGTTTTTACAAGCACATATACATAGATACATATTCGTATAATATGCCTCGGTGGTCGAATTGGTTGGGACGCCCGCCTAGAGAGAAGGGAGATCCAGTTTCAAACCCTGGCTGAAGTAATATTTTTCGTAGTAAATTTTCTGTGTTAAAAACACGATTGAAAAATTGAAAATTTCAAATACCAATATCTTTTTCATCAGACTTCTGACGCGAGTGTTTTAAGTGTAACAATGTTCTGCTATGCGGTCCACAACTCATCCTAGCATTATTTTGTGCATGAAAGCTAATAAAAAGATTTACCCGCGCAAAAACTATATTCGAATGTGTCGGTAAAATAGACGACAGGTGCTTTACGCAGAGTTTAACTTCTATCTCGGTTCAACTTACTTTATATCATTTTTTCTAGATTTACGAATTAGATGGAGATGAGAAGTAATTTAAATCGAGTTTAAAGTTAATCTGATTGGTAGAAATTGGCACGAGTTGCGTATCAACCAATTGTACAGAACAACCGCCTATGTTACACTTTCTGCCCTCGAAACGAGACGCGTACAAGATTACGCGTTGAGAGTAAAAGCAAAAAGGATTTAAAGTGCAGAAAGTTTAGCTACGAGAGTACGTGACTCCAGAGTCTCTCGCGTGCTCCTTCTCTTTCGACTTTTCGTCCTCCCTTTCTCTCGTCTATGCGCCTACCCCGTCGCGTTCCGAGTGTCGAAGGTGCAGCACGTGGCACAGCACGGAGAGAACGGGCCTACGCATATACGTAATGAAAAAGAACAAAGCGAAGAGGATAGAACAATCGGTTCAGTTCGGCGAAGCAATATGCAACAGAGGCAAGATTGTTGAACGTTGAACGATCGTCAAGAGATCGTTGAAAGTGGAGTTTGCAATTTATACACACAAAAGCGCCCAACGGAGGAACGTTATCGCGTTTTCACTCGTTATCACGTTGACGCGAGACGCGTCGCGACGCACGCCATTATTGTTATGGGAGAAACGGGAGGATACAAGGTCGCGAAAGTCCTTGTACAATATCACTCGCGGAAACGCACGGCCGCAGCAAGTGCGCTCTTGATCCGGGGGTTAGGTTAGTTTCGCCAGGTGAACAGTATGGCGAGTTAGAGGAAGAGAGCCAGACACAGGCGTTTCCCACCCGGGTGTCGTACTCGCTTGGATTCCCGCGGCCAAGCGCCCGCGTTAACGCGTCGTTCCCCGCGACGACCGACTTGCGGTATTGGTCCGCGAGGCTGCCTGCGTTCCTCCTCGCGAGGCGGTCCCGGACGACACCGGGAATAAAGCGGGAGCCTTGACGTTTTGACCTGCCCCTCGGTTAGTCCGAGCGAAGCCGAGTATTTCGCTCCTTGATCGCGCGTGTCGGAGCACTGTGCGCAGTGATACTGAATCTACAAGAGCCTGCACCGTCCTCGAGTCAAGGTACCGAGTAGTCGCAGTGCTGAATCTCGATAATGTTGAAGACGCGCCTGAGGCATAGGTGAGACACACCGAGCTCACCGAGTGTACGGATTGCAACAGCGGATCCGGCAGTCACGATAAACTGCGCAATCCAACGCCTCGTGTCGTTCGTTCGCCTCACACGTGTACTTTTTGTTGGATCCAACAAGCAAATTGCGATAGCACAGGTACACGAGAGATACCACTTGATTTTATTCACAGCTCATAGATATTTTGTTGATTACTCCAGTCTACTGAGGTAATCGCTACCTGGCGAGCAACATGGACGAAGCGAACGATCATCTTCCTGTAAAGGAGGAGGTTGAGATCAAGGAAGAAAAGCCGAGGGTTAGCGGCGAGATATACGTGAGGCAATTTCACAAGGTACACGAGGCTTCCTCGCCAGAAAGTCCCAGTGATGATGTGCAACGTGCAATCAAGGGTCTCAGCAAAATACCGGACGACGAGCTGAACGAGTTCCTCGACGACGAAGACTTTATGAAGGGACTGGACGTCGTGGACGCCTGGGAGGGAGATGAAGATAAAAACCGCGAGAACGAGCAGGATGCGACGGGGTCTGCGACGCAGGGGAAGAGCCAATCCTCTAGGTAGTGTCAAGTTAATGTAAACGATTCTTTATATAACATTGTCACTTGATATTAGCAATAAAGCCGTTGTATTGCTCTTACTTACAAGTGCAATAATTGCCACGGAAACTGTAATTGTGGCGCCACGATTTTTCTTGAGTTAAATTACGTTAATTCACATTGCGTGTACAGAAGTATTATGTTCTAATTTTAGTGATTTAGTTGTAAGTTACAATGTGCCAATGTTGGACAATTTCCACTCTCTTGTACGTGCACTCTGTGTGTACGGTATATGTGTAACATCTGTTATATTTAACATACAAGTTTAACATGGAAGTAGCAAATGAATGATGACAAGAGTAATTATAGGGAACACCATCGACCCGAGGATAAAGGAGCTTACAAGCGCAAGAAGAAAGAAGAGAAGAAACGCGAGGAGACTCGCCGGGATCCTATGAAGAGCACCAAGGACATCGAAAGGGACAAGATGCGTACGAAGAGAGACACCGAGAACAAGCTCCTCGCGGAAAAGGAGAAGGCGATCAAGCACCTGCTGGACTCGGACAACGTGGTCCCACCTGGTACGGAGACCGAAGCCATCCAGAGCATCGCGGAGGAGCAGAACAGAGAACGAGCGCAGCGCGAGGCGCAACGAAGCAGAGAGCGTCGCAGGAGCAAGTCGTCGGAACGTTATGGAAGGTTGAGCTCGCCGCGGCGCCGGACGCCCGATCGATCACGTCCGAGTCCCCATCGGCGAAAAAGTCCCTTCGCGAGCCCGGATCGTCGTAGGAGTCCTTTCAAGACCAACCCCGAGAGGCACAGAAGTCCTAGATACAGCCCGAGCAGATTGAAAAGTTCACCGCGGTCCTACGACCGTAGAACCCCCGCGTTAAGTCCGGATCGACGAAGAAGTCCTAGGCGACCTAGTAGAGAACGACGATCCAGCGAAAGAAGATGGAGTGCCGAGCGACTCCGTAGGAAACGCCCTGATTGGACGCACGAACGGTGAGGAGACAATATTCTTAACATCTTTGTTAAGAGATCTTTAAATGTGCTATCAGTACAATCTCTTTCCGGCTCAGGAAAGGGATTTAGAAAACTCAATTATGCCACCTAGTTAAAGATTATCTTTTTACCGCGTGTATAATTACACGTATCATTTTGTGTATAAAATGTGCTGTAAGTAGTTGTTTACGATAGATATAATTTTTCAAACTTGCGCTTTAAATTTTATATTCCATGTAATTTTATATACGACTGTACTGTACAAATATACATACACGTTATAAAGATGTACTAGATTATATCTTAGTGATTATCTTGATTAAGCCGGAGAAGCCGATCTCGCGATCGGAGGAGTCGCAGTGCGGAACGTCCGAGAAGACGAACGAGCCGTTCGCCAGTGGGCAGACGGTACAGCCCCCGTCGCCGTAGTCGTACGCGCACACGCAGCAGATCGTTGGAGAAGCGTGTCAGGAAGCGTTCGCCCTTCATCAACGAATTGGCGAGACAACTGCGGAACGAAGCGATGTCGACCGGCGTGAACGCAAGTGGATACGTGCCGCCCGTGACGATGGAAGGAATCTCACCGTTGCTCAACCCACCTGCGTATCAGCAAGAAGGGGAAGCCAGACCACCGACTCAGCCGCCACCACCGCAACCGCCGCTACCGCCTGGGTCTCCGTACGTGCATCAACCGGGTCCACCGCCGCCGCCGCCACCGCCGCCGCCGCCGCCGACACCGTCATCGGCCATGCTACCACCTATGCCGGGCGGACCGCCGTTTATGAATTTCGAGCCGATGCCGGCTGCAACACCGCTAATGAATTTCGAACCTATACCCCCAACTCCAACCAGTTATTCGTCCGGTCCGGTTATATACAATCAGCCGAACGCCACCGGTATCCAAGCACCTCCGCGACCGGTGATGTGCTCACCGTTGCTCCCTATGCCGATACCCTCGCCGCAGCCTGTACCCCCTCCGACGATGGATCATGTGCACGTATCGTACAATCCATCGTATACCGCACCCTTTGTCCAACAGTCACCGATTCCTCCAAACAAACCTTCGACTCGCTCAACCGCATCCTCCACGTCGTCGCAGAGCTACACAGAACGTGGACCGACGGCATCGTCGCACAACGAAGCTTACTCTCCGCCCCAGGAACGAATAAAGACACCCGAACCGCCGATCATCTCCAAACCAAAAGTAATTGTAACATATACGATAGTGATGAGTATTTGGTTTTGTTTTACATTCGACAACAAGTGCTAGCCACTATGTCGAAGTTAATGAACATTAATTTATATTAATTTGCCGTATGAATCGTTGTATTGGTTTCAAGCATGTATTTTATTGGTGGGGAAAACTAATTAATGTAACTTTTATGACTTGATCTTGCAGCATTTCGAAAAGACCAGCTTATCCAGTCTATTGGAAGCGTCTGTTTCAGCCAAAGGTGCGAGTATGTTTTAATTTGTTATGTGTTTGATCGCGTAAAGATTCGTATAGAACTGATACACAGTTCACGCTTTTCGGTTGATCACACAAGGATACAGATATTTTCCATGTATCCTATTTATTGAGCCGTACTAATTGTTTATATTTTCTCTTTTTATTATGTCCTGTAGGTTCATCTAATATACCGATACTGTATCCAGGTAAGAACTTTTAAATTTTTTAATTCAATTCAAGCTGCTTGTTAATTGTGTGACATGACTAATTAGATATGCAGTTAAAGTGGACTTTTGTTTAAAGACTCTTACAACGTGTGTGAAGACTACAAGAAGCATGACATAAAACATATTTTTCTAAGCAATATACAGCATATATATATGTAATTCGGAATTTTATTCCACGCGACTCTGTTTTCTTTCCATTGATAGGCTTCAAGGCCGAAATAATACGACATTGCGAACAAGCGCTGTACCAACTTCCAATTGAGGATCCGCGTTTGAAAATGAAGGGTAGATTTTTCTACGATCGTAGCGAGGAGAAAGATACGAAAGACGTTTCCGAAGACCATACGTCGAATTCGATACTTCTGCAGAAAAGCAAAACGAAGATATTCTGGAACGAGGGCAACGCGGAACAGCCGGTACCGATTCCGAAAGCGGTAACTCAAACGCATCAGAAGATCTGTCAGACAGATGAAGTAGAAACGGAAAGCAAGGGTGTGCAGGCACGCGTCACCACGGCCGACGCTGCATCACAGGTCTATCCGCACGAGCTCCAGCAGATAAAAGAAGAGAAACGGTCGATACTGGATCGTCTAGATTGGAGCACGCGGAATACAATCGAGTATGGATCCAAATATCACGATGTAGGATCCGAGGATCTGAGGTGGAGTCTAAACTCGCAGAGACGTAATTGTAACAGGCGGACAGGGCCTTCTAGAAGACCCGACGAACAAGAGAGTTATTTAAGTTCTGTGGATCATGAATCTAGAAGCTCGAGGCTGGATTCTCCTGTTCGAAGTAGAGGTGATTTTTCTCACTCTAATATGCGCGATCACTATAGTCGTGACAGATACTCACCGGATTATTATAGACGTTCTGTAGAGCGCGACGAGTTTAATGACAGAAGAAGTAATCGTAGTCGTGGAGAGAGCCCGATGGATTTGGATGAAGAATCCGACCCCGGCATGTCTTGGGGACGTCATTAGAACGTCACAAAGACGTCCCTTGAAGGTTTGTACTGTATCAACGATGAATTGATGACTGGACATACATTCCAAAGGGCATCTGGTTGGCATGGAATAAAGAGGAAAAATCTCAAAGGGCAAAAGTCATAATTTACGTGGGAAGTATGTAAGAGGAAGATCGGGATCGCGAAAACTTTCGGGACAATTTTTTTAATTTCATATATGTTGCATATATGAAATATCTCAACGTAATATCAACAACTTCATTTTACTTATGTATATATATGTTGTATATGTATACATGCATATATATATATATAGAAAACTGCAACAAATATTTTAAATAATATAAACAGTCTCAATAACCGATACTGATTTTGATAATACTACATACGTCAAGTTATTTGATGTTAAGTGAGAAACAGTAAAGAGAATACAATTTTCAGGATAAATATTCAGGTATGAATTTGTAGTGAACAATAGTGACAAAAAGTTTCGTATACTTGAACAAAACGATATGCTCAAGTATTTTTGCATAAGTGTGTTTCAAAGAATTGTGCATATCGCGCTGAAATGAACAGTGTCCGCGAAAACATGATATCTCAGCCTCTATCTTTTTTATTAAGAAAGTTATATTACAATAAAAAAAAAGATGTTACACACATGCCTGTAACCTGACACCACAAGATGTAGATACGATAAATGTTGACTTTTGACTTTTGACATTTTATTCGTGTCTTCTGCTGTGTACACAATGATACTATAACAATTTCAGTGTAACAAAATACAATCTTATTGAGAACACACATATGTAATGAAGACTGTAATAAAGATGTAAAACTAATTGTGATGCAATGGGAATTTTAAACAAAAGTAATAAAGGTTACGAATGTATATTGTAGAAGCTGTGAAATAAGTGTGCACTAATACTGTCTTTCATCCTGAAGATAATTTTATTGATACAGCATTACATCGTTACAACTATTACTCTTGTTTCAATATAATTAATATAATTCAGTATACATAATATTCCGCTGCAGGAACTTTCCACGCGATACATAGAGCTAGAAGTGTAAAGCTAAATTTATAAATTTTATGAAATTATTATTAAATTGCATCTCTTCTTATTATTTTCTTCAGGGATCAAACAGTGTACGCTGCGAGCTAATTCCCAAGCGATTGCAAAGAGCGTTGCACGACGTCGCTCAAGTATTGCATCATGTTGTGCAGCTTGTAGAGTTTCGTCTTGTAACGACCGTCTCGCACGTCATTCATAATTTTTTTGCGTTTTTCTTCAACGAGTTTCACTCGCGCTATTTTCCGTCCCATTTTTCTGCGCTATGTTTTTTTACAGGGACAACGTCTTATATTGGCTATCATCTCGTTACACGAGTTTTTAGAGTGGTATCGAGATAATTATGAAGCTCATAGCAAATGTGAGTACCCGTCAAATAGTTTTCGATTGTTTAACGTTATATTTTTTTTATTAGGTAATTACAATCGCGAAGTACATTTTTTTAAAACAACTGTTTGTGTTGAAATAATGAGTTGTTAAAAAGAATTTAATAAAACCTTTTTCGAGGTGGAAGTTCAAACTGTAAATCGTTCTTCGCAAATGACATCTACGAACTGTTAAAATTGTCGGAGCTTCTTGAGCCTCACAAATATCTGAATGTAATATAAAACAATAGTTTCTCACATATACGTGTTGATCACTTTTTTTATTACATGTATATTGAAAAATTATAGTAAGTGTTCCCAGGAAGCGATACAAATCTAATATATTTCTAAAATTATATTTTCAGGCGTAATTTTACTTCGATTGTTTCTTTTGCAAAAAATATTGATTTAATAATATTTATATCGCGATACACAGCTCTCTGTTTTTGGTGTATAAAGTGCCATCGATTTAAGCAAACGGAAATTAGGCAGGCACTAATTAATTTACATCTGTATTTACGAATAAGAACTAATTTTCGCAATTTAGAGGGGGCGATTGTTAAAAACAAAACCGTGCCCGTCAGCGCTTTGAAAAAAATGATCGCGCTTCCAGACTCAACATAAATCCCTAGCGGCGCGCTCTTTAGAAGTTAATTGCGCTGCAAATTGCGTTCTTTTAATCTTCCCGCACGGCCGTTCGATTCAAATTACTCTAGCGAGCAATTTATACTGCAATTTAGCGCACATTCAGTTTACGAACGTCCGGTTCAGATTGCTCGCGAATTCCGCCTGGCTTCGCCTCGGATATGAATCAGCGTCATCGCGAAATCGCTCAATGATCTCGGAGGAGGACGCGCCGAGGGCCGACCATGTCGCTGCGTCCAGTCGATTTCCCGATTACGGAGCCGCGTTTTTTCGCGCGGTCGACGATCATACTTTCCGCAAAGCGAGACAATTACATTCTTCACGAAAGTCAATTTTACATTCAGTAATCGGCCTCGTTCGCGGCTGTTATGAAATGGCGAAACGCTCGGGCGGACTGAAACGTTCACTTTGCTTCGATCGAACGAACCCGAGTCGATCGATTTTAATTCCGTTTCCTTGGAAAGGGGCTTTGTCTATACTTATGTTATATAGAATAAAATCAACTTTGGGGTAGATATGATATCGCCAGCAATTCAAAACAATGATGAGTATTTTACAAAAACGACCTACACTGGCCAATGCCTTTATTTAATATAAAAACGACGTTTCGGTCCTGGATTTGGACCCTTTTCAAGTAATCTGTTTCGTAATTATCCCTGATCTCGTATCGTTCGTTTGGCCAATATCGCTATGTTAGCAGAATATTAGTCAAAGGAATAAGAGGGAGAAATTTTGCTTGCACTCTTTAGTTGGAGAGTGCAAAGTCAATTGAAGTTGCATTGTTAACTGTTGAAGCACAAGTAAAAATGTCCCGAGATGTGTGTTGGACGAGGTAACAGATTGAACCTGAAATAAAATCAACATTTTATTCTGTAAATTTCAACAGATAAATCGTGTTACTAATAATACAGAACGTAAGTATTGTTTAAGATTAAAAAAATAAGTACATTGTTTTAACATTTTAACATTTCTTTTCAGTATTTTAATAATTTTACATTTTATAAGTCAATTAACACAAGAGCAATATGTTAAATTAACGCATGAATGTGTTAAACATTTAACACACAAATTTTAATCGGTATTTTCTTCAACAAGAAAAGACAAATTTTCCAAGTGTGCAGATTTTGCCTTCTTCTTACGAAGCTACAATACGCGTGTTCATTATTTTATTTTTCTGTATCAAGTAAATCCCCGGCAGGTAAAAGCAGAAAGGAAAGACGAGAGCAAGGGATTTCTCTCTTTCGATCGAGGATCCAAACCGATCGCGTCAAAGCTGGCGGCGGACAGCGTCGCTCCGATTAGGAATTTCGTTTTCGAAATTCTCTCGAGTCGACGCCCAGGTTGGACCCGAGGGCGGAAGAAAGAGGAGCGTGATTAAATATTAATTGGAATTAAAAAGGAACGAAGCGGCGATATCTCGATCGCCACGGGGGGGGGGGGACCCCCTTGGAGCGGGCCGCCGGGCTTTGGCGCCATCTGGCGCGAGTCGGGAGAATCCGCTGTTGTCAAGCGGCGCGATATCGCGTTGGCAGGCCTGCGACAGGCGCGACGGCGCGGCGCGGCCCCCCGAAGGCTGTATTTCGGGTAGGCGCGCGCGCTATCTCGCTCTCCTTCTCTCTCGCTCCCGCGCGCTCGACCGCCACGACGTTGACGGGCGGGCGCGCCGCCCCGCGGGCGATTCGGCAAGCATTCGGCATGGATCCAGCTCCATGTTCGCCCGTGAAAGCGATGCGGTGTCCCCGCGGTTAGGACGTTGTACGATTGTCGTGTGTGCTGCGGGAACGTCGCGCGTTACGAACGTCGACCGTCGTGCTAGCCGCGTGCTCGGGCGGCCGCTCGACGTCGTCGCGATCGGTGCCCGTCGGCGCGCGTCCGCGAGCCAGTGGTGCGTCGTCGGACAACCTCGTCTCGCGTGTCTCGGTGTGGCGTGGCGGCACGGGAGCAGCCGCGTCGGCGACGATCTCAATTCGGGGCGGCCGCTGCGAGGCCGCGGCGGAGCGGGCCCGCGAGCACGGCTGCGACGCGAGCTGGCGAGGAGGAGCGCTCGTCGGCCGTGCGTGTCGACGGCGGTGGCGACGGCGACGACAGCAGCGGCGGCGGCGGCGCGTGCTGCGAGGACGAGGTGAATGCACGGCGGCCGCGGTGTGTGCCAGTGGTGTGCGCGCTCGTCGCCCGTGGAAACCCGCCAAAACCCGCGGCCGCGAACAACCACCGCCATCGACAACGTCGTCATCCCCAGCGTCGCTGCGGTCAACAGTAGCAACAGCGGCAACAACAAAAACAACGATATCGACTACGTCGGCGGGAGGAGGGTCCTCGCGAGCGACGGCGAGGACGAGGACGCGAGTGCCGTGACGGGCAACGACGACGACGGCAGCCGTCGCGGCGGTGCACGACAACGACGACGACGACGACGCCGCGAGTGCCGCTACCGTTGTTGCTGCCGCGGTCGCGCCGTCACGTCGATCGCGACGTCGTCCCGGCACGTCGGGGCGTCGCGCCGCTCCTCGCACGACGACGACGCCGCCGCCGCCGGTCGCGGCTGGTCTCGACCGCTGCTGGAGAGGAAGTAGAGAGAGGAAGGTCGTCGCGCTCGTGTGACAGCGACGGGGCAGGGGCAACGGCGGCGGCGACAACGACAACGGCGGCAGCAGCAGCAGCGACGACAACAGCAGCAGCAGCAGCAGCGACAGCATCAGCAGCAGCAGCGACGACGACCGCCCAGCTCGCGCGCTGTCGTTGGCGACAGCGGCGTCGGCGGCTGCGTTCTGTTATTATTTTGCCGCGGTGCTTTTGACCCTTCGTGCCGGGCGAGTTCATTGCGGCGCTGTCGCGGGGGTGTCAGCCGGTAGTACGTCCACACCGCGTATCCTCCCCCCCTTCTCCTCCTCCTCCTCCTCCTCCTCCGTCCGTCTGGCGGCAGCAGCGCCGGCGTCGACGGAACGGGCCGCCTCGTGATCGCGAGCGCGGAGGATCGGGGCGCGTCCCTAAGGCCCCGCGCGGGCCATCGCGAGAAGGCGAGAAGAAGCACCGGCGGCCGCCGGGGAAGAGAAACGCTCTCCGCCCGCGCGCGCGCGCCCGCGTCCGCGACAATACCACGTGATAGTCGCGTCGCGACGGCGGGACGAGCGAACGGCCGGCGGTAAGTCAGTCAGTAGTCCGCGAGGCCGCGTGGCGTCACGCGGTGACGCCGATGACCATAACCTGAGAGCGCGGCGCGGCGCACCACCAGGATCTCCGGCTCTTTGGCGCGCGCCAGCACGAAAACAAACGGGGGGAGGGGGCCGCTCTCTCCGGGATTAATATACCGCCTCGCCACCTGATCCGGTGGCGCGCGAGCGTCCCTGTTTGGGAGCGCACGGGACTCGCGTCAGCCGCCTCTCGCTCCAACGGCGGCAAGGAGGAAGGAAGGTGCGTGCGTGCCCGCGCGACCCTTTGACGCGCGCGCGAGCGAGTGTGAGTCACGATCGTCGTCGTCGTCGTCGTCGGTCCACCGCGCTTCTTCCTCGCGCGACGAGGACAGAGTGGCAAGAGGGTAGAGGCGCGCCGGCGGATACGCGGCGAGTTTCACGGCCGCGACCCGATTGCGATCGGCGAAGGGAAAGGCGCGCGCGCGCGACGAGGCCGAGGATATACGGTCGCCGCGCGTGTGTGTCAACGTGTGTGCTCCGTTCTGTTCTCTTGGTGTGCGTGTACGTGCGCGTGGTGTGCGGTGCCGCTCGTTATGCTCGCGGTGACAGCCCGACGATAAGTCGCCAACGGTGGGCTCCTCGCTCCTGCGTTTTCCGATCCCCCCCCCCCCGCCGCGAGTGCTCCGCCGTTTCCTTCGCGCGGAAAGTCCGAGTACCCGAGGAGCTCTCGTCTCTTCTCTTCGCCTGCCCCCGCCTCCCGCCATCGCCGCTACCAGCGCGCTGTCACCAACGTCGCCCGCTATCTACACCGTCGCGCTCCCCCACCCGCGCGATCTGTCCGGCCGCTCCGTCGGTGAAGTGCGCGACCGTTGAGGAGCAGTGAAAACGTAACCCCGTGTGCCGTGTGCCGGAGGAGTCCCTCTCCTTCCTCGCGCGCGCGGATCTACCTGCACACAACCCCCCCCCCCCTACCACCTATCTACCCGCCGTTTCCTCGCCTGCTCCCCCCTTCGCCCTTCATTCATCGGCGTCGCCGGCTTGTTTTTCGAAGTGGATCGTCAGGACAGGCCGCACGAGCGCGACGGACAAAGGGGGACGCGTTCCAGCTTGCGTGGAGGAAACTCGCATCGAAGGTACGTGCCGCGCGCGCGGCTCTTATCTATCTATCTGTCTCTTTCTATCTATCTCTCTCTCTCGTTGCTCCGCGCGCGCGAATCGCACTCCCGCGCCAAGTTCGCCTTTGAGGTTAGGCGCGGGACGCGCCAAGTCGATCGAACGGTCGGAAGGTAGCGGCGTGTCGCTCGCGATTCTCGTGACGTCGCGTCGCGTGGCGTCTCGGGGCGTCGCACGCGCGAGACGCGCGAGGGGAAGAAACGGCGAGCGACGCGACGAACGGGGGGATTGGGAGGAAGGGGGGGCGCCGGGAGACCGCGTTGTCGTCTCCCCGCGGCTCGATCCTAACCTCAAAACCCGCGGTACGCGAGCAACTACGCCGTTCAATGCTCTCCGCGGCGGGTCCCGCTCCTCGCGGCGCGCCGCTTAAACAGCTGTTTAAGCGGCGCGGCGAGCGTCCCGCGCGCTCTTTTTTTCCCCGTGCCGAGCCGCGGCGGCGTCTCCGATTCACCGGCGCGGCGCGAAGCCGGCGAGGGCAGCCGCCCGCGGTGTGAGACGCGACCGCGTCGATAGCGCAACGAATTGGCCGCTTTCCCTCGGAAAATGAGCTCGCCAGAGTCGAGGATTAGGTTTGCTACTTATTTTTCAAATGTTGGGAATTGAGCAAAAATTTTGCAAGAATCTGAACGAGCGCGGAAACTACCTCGCGACTCTTTATTGCGATGAGGCACAACGTTTCGGCCAATGGTCCTCTTCGGGTAACGAACTTGCAAAGGTGCCTGCAGGTGCCTGAAGTGCAGAAAAACGACACGCAAAACTAAATTAAAACGAGATGTCGCGTAACAGAAATTGAAATGAAGGTAAACTGATAATTGTGATAAGGCGTTAGGGGCATATGACGACATTGTGAGAATCGATGTTGTGTTTTTTAAAAAAGATGGCGAGGGACAAAGCACGCGCGTTGAATTGTTTTGCAAAGTATAAAAATTCAAAACAAATTTCAAAGTAAATAAAAGATGAAATTAAGTTTTTTTTTAAAATAAAATGACTTACAAGATTCGTCAGATTAGAGATGTGAAAATTATGTTGGAAGTCGGACATCTCGTTGTACAATGTGTCCGGTCATCGACGCTAGAAAACAAAACAAGCGATAAATAAGAGTGAAAATTTTACAGATTGTCTATAAAATTTTCACTCTTATTTGTAAAAAAAAACCAGAGTCGTTTCACCGAAGTCGCAGGTTATAAAAAATTTTATTTGCAACGAATTTACCCGACGAGGTTATGCAAAACGTGTGACTCGAATGACTGAAACGGATGGAAAAATTAAACATACATTTCTGAACTTGTACGCAATCGTCGTCGCCCAAACTACACGAGAAGGTCAATATTATAATTCGTCAAAGTCGAATTTCCACTTGGTTATTTCTGCTACGATCGCACGTGCGAAACATCCTTAACGTTGACCAGCGTCCGATCAGACCGTATTGCCTGTTCGTTGATTATTCGATCCTGAATCTATTTCCTCGGCTCGAAAGTTGCCGGCGCCGATTGCGATTTCTGGATGCGAGAGAAACGAGAAAACGGGGCGAGCAGCGTATTGGAATAATTGAAGGGCCGGACGCGGGAATTCTATTGTAGCGAGCTTTGCGGGAACTGAGGAAAACTGAAAAATCACAGTATCTTACACTTTCTCTGGCTGACGATATGTGAGCGTGAAATATATAGAGGGAAGTCTTCTATAATTAAGAGATAGGCGCCTTGTATGAGACAGCGGAGTTTCTGCTAAATTAATACGTGGGCAAAAGTCTCTTTTAAAATTTACCCTGAAAATCGCGGGACAACGTGGCATTTTGAAGACCTTTATCAGAGTTTGATGAAGTTTTATCATTACATTCTCCTGGTAAAATGTACATTGAGCATAATTACTAGTTAAATTTCAAAAACTCTCAAAATTCTTCGAAATGCCATGTTGTCCCACGATTACATAACTTTCAGGATAAATTTTAAGAAAAAGTTCTCTCCGTGTAGACATCATCCGGTGGTTCTGCCATGAATTTATTGCCTTTGGAGTGAAATCTGTTTAGTGAAAAGTTAATCCTTAGATCGTGTAATTGTTGCGGAAAAACATTTGCGATTGAATTTGGACGTTGAAAACCTACTATTTCATAATAGAGGACTTTCCTCTACCTTTGGTTCCCATTATCTTCTTTCATAGAAGTAACAAAATCATAATTCATTTTGATAGAAAGCTAAGCCGTCTGATTCTTGCTGACAGACCTTCGATTCAAAGCTCTTTTTGTACGTGTTTACCAACCGAAATCTTTCTCAATAGAGACACGCAGGTTTCTTTTGTTTCGTGATATAGTTCGAGCGTCGCATTCAATAGAAAATGAAGGGAGCTTGAAACTAATCGAATTAAAAAACAATTGTAGTGTTTTAATGATAAAAGATGAAGGTGGAAGCGAACAGTAGTACAAAATCAAATCTTTACAAACTTGCATTTTATTACTGTTGTCGGAAGAAAAGAAACGATCTTTTAAGTGATAAATATCGAAGCTTGGAAGATGGTCGATCAGTGAGTCACGTGTTATCATGTAAATCGATACATTTTGTGCGCAAGATTATCGATGCCTTCGTATCTTCAAAGAAAGACATGAAACGCACAAAAGGAGCTTCGTTTCTAAAACGTCATTCTCGGATTTTGGAACGACGAAAATATATTTTTATTATTACAAAATTATTTTAAAATGCAGCTTGCAAAATGAAAATCACGAATCGAAACGACAGATATGCATTCGAACGCACAAAAGGTGCTTCGTTTCTAAAACGCCATCCTCGGATTTTGAAACGACGAAATTAAATTTTTATTATTACAAAAGTATTGAAAAATGGAGTTTGCGAAATGAAAATTACGAATCGAAACGACAGATAGGTATTCAAACGCAGTTTAGTAATAATTCCGATCTTTGGATTCTCTTTCTGCTATTTTATGTCTGCTCCAGATCTACAATTCGCGATACCGCTTTATTTATAATTATATAAAACATTTAATGCAATTTGACATGTATTTAGTAAATGAAAAATGCTCATAATACACGGGGAGGATTTTTTTTTTAAATTCAATTCTGAAACTAATGTAATCGTGGGACACGTGGCATGTTGAAGAACATTATGAGAGCTTTTTGCAATTTTACCGTACATTTTGTCAGTAAAAATGTATACTAAGTATAATTACTAGCAAAATGTATGGTAAAATTTCGAAAAACTCGTAAAGTTCCCACGGGATACGATATCGTATCCCACGATTGCATGATTTCCGGGGTAAACTTTAAGAGAAAATTCTCTCATATTTTTCTATCAATGTACATTGTTAGGTCAACCATAACTTACGTTGGAGGAATTATAAAAATATGGTTGGGTCCAAAAATGACTATATTTTTCTATCAGTGCGTGTACATATCAAAATACTAACGTGACACGCGTCAAGATGCACGTGGCGCCTAAAGTTGCGTAGAAATTACAGTAAACGAACGTGACGCGTCGCCGACAAATAAAAGTTGTCGCACGCGGGGGGGACCCTTCGCAATGTCCGCGCTCCGATACTCCGTCGTCCGATCCGTTGGCACTGCCAAAACTCGTTATTGTTGCAAAAATCCTACAGGTGGCAACACCGACGTAGGTAAGACATCGCGTAAGGTCTTGGGCGCCGCTGCATTTCGCATTATCGCGCAATCACCGTCACTGCGCGCGTCATCCGAAAAAGCCTGGCGGGGGCGCGACGCGGGGCATCGATATCTCGCGCTGGGACTCGCGCTTTTTCCCTGAAGACCGATACGAACTGACTCTCGGAAGTTGCGTCCGAAAGCTACGTACCCTATCTCGATACGCTTTCGCGCAACTCCACGATTATAAATACTGATAAACCATCGCGGAAGTGGATGGATTTGCGAGAGAATTGCGCGAGGTAGCCTTCTTTTTTAACCTTTAGACTTGGCCGGAGAAGCCGCTCTTGTGGCTCTTAACAAATCTCGCATTGTGTATGCTATTTACAAAGTCCCCTATTATGAGATAGGCTCCTAATAAGAGACAGCGGGGTTTCTACGACATTAGTAGGCATCGTCTGTTGGTTCCGCCATGAATTCATTGTTCCTGGGGTAAAATCTGTTTAATAAAAAGTTCATTAGATTGTGTAGCACTTCCGAAAAGAGATTTGTCATAGAATTTGGACGTTGGAAACCTGCTGTCTCGTAATATTATAGAAGCCTATCTCATAATTGGACACTTTCCTCTATGCATAAAGTTTTGAGAAAAGGGGGCGCTATTTTAATGCAAAAATCCCGGCGGTCCGAAGGTCGATAAATCCTTGGACGACTTTTGCAAATGACTCTTTGTACGTTGGGGCTTAGTGCGACGTCTCTTTTCACTTGAGAATCTTTCGTCGCTCGATTGCGACACGCGACATGCAACGTGATATATAAAATTATAACTACGCTAGCACGCGTATGCAGCATTAGTAAAGATGTAGATTAGTTACGTAATTTCACAACCGCGTGTATTCTCCAGTCGGAGAGATCGAGCGTCGCCGGCACAGGCCAGTTGCCGCCTCGCTCGCGTTATTACGTAAAAAGGCGCAAGTGCACGGCCGCCACCGCACGGCGGTGCCCGCCGAATTGCGTTTTCGAGCATCGATCCTCTCGCGCCGTCCACGTGTACGTGCACGGCCTTCCGAAATAAGACCCTAATTTTGACGCGCGGCGACGTTATTATCAGTTTGATATTAAATTACGT